TGGTATCTCAATGTGGTTTTGATTTGAATCTCCTTGATGGCTAATGATGATGAGCATTTATTCATGTGTCTGTTAGCCTTTTGCATGTCTTCTTTGGGGAAATGTCTGTTCATGTCTTCTGCCCTTTTTTGATATGATTATCTGTTTGTAGAATGTTGAGTTTGAGGAATTCTTTATAGGTCTTGGATATCAGCCCTTTTCTGTAGTGTCAATTGTGAATACGTTCTCCCATTCCGTGGGTTGCTTCTTTGTTTTGTTTACTGTTTCCTTTACTGTGCAGAAGATTTTGATCTTGAGGAAGTCCCAAAAGTTCATTTTCTCTTTTGTTTCCTTTGCCTTTGGAGACATGTCTTGAAAGAAGTTGCTGTGGCCATTGTTGAGGAGGTTGCTCCCTATGTTCTTCTCTAGGATTTTGATAGATTCCTACTTCACATTGAGGTTTTTTCTTCATTTTGAGTTTATCTTTGTGTATGGTGTAAGAGAATGGTCGAGTTTCATTCATCTACACATAGCTGTCCAATTTTCCCAGTGCCATTTATTGACAAGACTGTCTTTTTTCCACCGGTTATTTTTTCCTGCTTTACCAAAGATTATGTGACCATAAAGTTGAAAGTCCATATCTGGGCTATCTATTCTGTTTCACTAGTCTATGTGTCTGTTTTTGTGCCAGTACCTTGCTGTCTTGCTGATTACAGGTTTGTAGTAAAGCTTGAAATCGGGCAACGTGATGCCTCCAGTTTTGTTTTTCTTATTCAGTATTTCCTTAACAATTCGAGGTCTCTTCTTGTTACATACAAATTTTAGGATTGTTTGTTCCACCATGTTGAAAAATGCCAGTGGAATTTTGATTGGGATGGCATTGAACATATAGAGTGCTCTAGGCAGTATAACATTTTCACAATGTTTATTCTTCCGATCTATGAGCATGGAATGCTTTTACATCTTTTTGTGTCTTGTTCAATTTCTTTTATGAGTGTTCTGTAGTTCCTTGAGTACAGATCCTTTACATCTTTGGTTAGGTTTATCCCAGGTATCTTATGGTTCTCAGTGTTATTGTAAAGGGAATTGATTCTCTAATTTCCCTTTCTATAGTTTCATTGTTAATGTATAAGAAAGCAACTAATCTGTACATTTGTTTTGTATCCTGCCATGTTTCTGAATCACTGTATGAGTTCTAGCAGATTGTGGGTGGAGTCTTCGGGTTTCCCATATATAGTATCATACCATGTACGAAGAGAGAGTTTGATTTCTTCTTTACCAATTTGAATAGCTTTTATTTCTTTCTTGTTGTCTGATTGCTGTAGCTGGGACTTCTAGTACTATGTTGAACACAAGTGGCGAGAGTGGGCATCCTTGTCATGTTCTTATCTCAAAGGGAATGTTGTCATCTTTTCCCCATTGAGAATGATATTCCCTATGGGTTTTTCACAGTTAGATTTTATGAAGTTGAGGAATGTTCCCTCTATCCCTATACTTTGAAGTGTTTTAATCAGGAATGGATGCTGTATCTTGTCAATTGCTTTTTTTTTTTTTTTTTTTTTGCATCAATTGAGAGGACCATGTGGGTCTTCTCTCTTCTCTTATTGATTTGTCCTATCAGATTGATTGGTTTGTGAATGGTGAACCACCCTTGCATCCCAGGGATAAGTCCCACCTGGTCATGTTGGATAATCTTTTTAAGGTAGTGTTGGATCCTATTAGCTAGGATCTTGTTGAAAATCTTGGTATCCATATTCATCAGGGATATTGGGCTGAAATTCTCCTCTTGAATGGGTTCTTTGCCTGGTTTGGGGATTAATGTAATGCTGGCTTTGTAGAAAGAGTCTGGAAGGTTTTTTTTACCTGTTTCTATTTTTTCAAACTGCTTCAGGATAATGGGTATTATTTCTTCTTTGAATTTTTGATAGAATTCCCCAGGGAATCCGTCAGGTCCTGGGCTCTTGTTTTTTGCGAGGTTTTTGATCACTGCTTCAATCTCGTTACTAGATATTGGTCTGTTCAGGTTGTCAGTTTCTTCCTGATTCAGTCTTAGAAGTTTATAGGTTTCCAAGAATGCATCCATTTCTTCTAGGTTGCTTAATTTATTGTCATATAATGGTTGAATTTAATTTCTGATAACTGTTTCTATATCCTTTGTGTTAGTCATGATCTCTCCCCTTTCATTAATAAGTTTATGAATTTGAGTTCTCTCTCTCTTCTTTTGGATTAGTTTAGCCAGTGGTTTATCAATCTTAATTATTCTTATTTTAAAATTTTTATTAACATATAATGTATTATTTGCCCCTGGGGTACTGGTCTGTGAATCATCAGGCTTACACACTTCACAGCACTCCTGATAGCTCATACCGCCCCCATGTCCGTAACCCAACCACCCTCTCCCTACACCCCCCACCCCGCAGCAACCCTCAGTTTGTTTTGTGTGATTAGAGTCTCTTAAGGTTTGTCTCCCTCCCGATACCATCTTGTTTCACTTTTTCCTTCCTTCCATATCCACAACATCCCGCCCTGCCTCTCAAATTCTTCATATCAGAGAGATCAAATAGTAATTGTCTTTATCTGATTGACTTATTTTGCTCAATATGGTACTCTCTGGTTCCATCCATGTTGTTGCAAATGGCAAGATTTCATTTCTTTTCATGGCTGCATAGTATTCTCATATATATATATATATATATATATATATATATATATATATATCTCACATCTTCTTTATTCATTCATTTGTTGATGGGCATCTAAGCTCTTTCCATAGTTTGGAGCTTGTGGACATTGCTGCTATAAACATTTGGCTGCATGTGCTCCTTCGGATCCCTACATTTGTATCTTTGGGGCAAATACTTAGTAGTGCATTTGCTGGGTCATAGGCAACTTTTTGAGAAACTCCATGCTGTTTTCCAGAGTGGCTACAACAGCTTGCATTCCCACCAGCATTGTAGGAGGATTCCCCTTTCTCTGCATCCTCGCCAAAATCTATCATTTCATGACTTGTTGATTTTAACCATTCTGACTAATGTGAGATGGTATTTCATTGTTGTTTTGATTTGTATTTCCCTGATGCAAGTGATGTTGAACACTTTTTCATGTGTCAGTTGGCCATGTGGATGTCTTCTTTGTAGAAATATCTGTTCATGTCTTCTTCCCATTCCTTGATTGGATTATTCTTCGGGTGTTAAGTTTGATAAGTTCTTTATAGGTTTTGGATACTAACCCTGTATCTAATATGTCATTTGTGAATATCTTCACCCATTATGTCAGTTGTCTTTTGGTTTTGTTGACTGTTTTCTTTGCACTGCAAAATCTTTTGATCTTGATGAAGTCCCAATAGTTCATTTTTGCACTTGCTTCCCTTGCCTTTGGTGATGTTTCTAGGAAGACGTTGCTGTGGCTGAGGTCAAAGAGGTTTCTGCCTGTGTTCTCCTCAAGGAGCAACTATCTGCTAGAAAATTTGACAATCTGAAAGAAATGGATGCATTCCTAGAGACATATAAACTACCAAAACTGAGCCAGGAAGAAATAGAAACTGTGAACAGACCCATAACAAGTAATGAGATTGAAGCAGTCATCAAAAATCTCCCAACAAACAAGAGCCCAGGGCCAGATGACTTCCCAGCGGAATTCTAGAAAACATTTAGAGAAGAATTAATACCTATTTTTCAGAAACTGTTCCCAAAAAATAGAAATGGAAGGAAAACTTTCAAACTCATTTTATGAGGCCAGCATCACCTTGATCCCAAAATCAAAGACACCACCAAAAAAGTGAATTACTGACCAATATCCTTGATGAACACGGATGCAAAAATTCTCACCAAAATACGAGTCAATAGGATCCAACAGTACATTAATAGGATTATTCACCACAATCAAGTGGGATTAATTCCAGGGCTGCAAGTTTGGTTCAACATCCGCGAATCAATCAGTGTGATACAATACATTAGTAAAAGAAAGAAAAAAGAACCATATGATACTCTCAATAGATGCTGAAAAAGCATTTGACAAAGTATAGCATCCTTTCTTGATCAAAACACTTCAAAGTGTAAGGATAGAGGATAGATACCTCAATATAACCAAATCCATCTATGAAAAACCCACAGCGAATATCATTTTCAATGGGGAAAAAAATCTGAGCTTTTCACCTAAGGTCAGGAACACAGCAGGGGTGTTCACTATCACCACTGCTATTCAGCATAGTACTAGAAGTCCTAGCCTTGGCAATCAGACAACAAAAAGAAATAAAAGACATCCGAAGCAGCAAAGAAGAATTCAAATTCTCACCCTGCAGATGATATGATACTTTATGTGGAAAACCCAAAAGACTCCACTCCAAAACTGCTAGAACTCATACAGAAATTCAGTAAAGTGTCAGGATATAAAATCAATGCACAGAAATCAGTTGCATTTCTATATACCAAAAGCAGGACAGAAGAAAGATAAATTAAAGAGTCAATACCATTTAAATTGCTCCCCAAAACACAAGATACCTAGGAATAAACATAAGTAAAGAGGCAAAGAATCTGTACTCAGAAAACTATAGAGTACTCATAAAAGAAATTGAGGAAGACACAAAGAAATGGAAAAATGTTCCATGCTCATGGATTGGAAGAACAAATATTGTGAAAATGTCTATGCTACCTAGAGCAACCTACATGTTTAATGCAATCCCTATCAAAATCCCATCCAGTTTTTTCAAGGAAATGGAACAAACAATCCTAAAATTTATATGGAACCAGAAAAGACCTCGAATAGCCAGAAGAATGTTGAAAAGGAAAGCCAGTGTTGGTGACATCACAATTCCAGACATCAAGCTCTATTACAAAGCTGTCATCATCAAGACAGTATGGTACTGGCATAAAAACAGACACATAGTTCAATGGAACAGAATAGAGAGTCCAGAAATAGACCCTCAACTCCATGGTCAACTAATCTTCGGCCAAGCAAGAAAGAATGTCCAAAGGAAAAAAGATAATCTCTTCAACAAATGGTGTTGGGAAAATTGGACAGCCATGTGCAGAAGAATGAAACTGGACGATTTCCTTACACTGAATGCAAAAACAGACTCAGAAATGGATGAGAGACCTCAGTGTGAGACAGTAATCGATCTTATTGCTTCTATCAGTGAGACAGCTTGTAATTTTGTTGATGTGTTCTACTGTATCTGGTTTCTAATTCATTGATCTCTGCTCTGCTCTTGATTATTTCCCTTCTTATGTGTGGGGTTGGCTTAATTTGTTGTTGGTTTTCCAGTTCTTTAATGTGTAAAGAAAGCTAGTGTATTAGGGATTTTTTCAAGTTTTTTGAGTGAGGCTTGGATGGCTATGTATTTACCCCTTAGGATCGCCGTTGCCATATCCCATAGGATTTGGAAATATATGTCTTCATTCTCGTTAGTTTCCATGAATTGTTTAAGTTCTTCTTGATTTCCTGGTTGATCCAAACATTCTTTTTTTTTTTTTTAATTCATTTATTTATTTGACTCAGAGAGAGAGACCACAAGTAGGCAGAGAGGCAGGCAGAGGGAGAGGGGGAAGCAGGCTCCCTGCTCATGCAGGTCTCTAACCCAGGACCCTGAAACTCTGATCTGAGCCGAAGGCAGAGGCTTAACCCATTGAGCCATCCAGGTCCCCCAAATCAAACATGCTTAAGCAGGGTGGTCTTTAGCTTCAGAATGTTTGAATTCCTTCGAAACTTTTCCTTGTGGTTGAGCTCTGATTTCAAGGAATTGTGGTCTGAGAATATACAGGGAATAATCTCAATCTTTTGGTATCAGTTGAGTCCTGATTTCTGACCCAGTATGTGGTCTATTCTGGAGAAAGTTCCATTTGCACTCAAGAAGAATGAGTATTCTGTTGTTTTAGGGTGGAATGTTTTGTATATATCTATGAGATCCATCTGGTCCAATGTGTCATTCAAAGCTCTTGTTTCTTCATTGATTTTCTGCTTGGGTAATCTGTCTATTACTGAGAGTGGCACATTAAGATCCCCTACTATTAATGTATTCATATCAATATGACTTTTTATTTTGATTAACAGTTGGCTTATGTAGTTGGCTGTTCCCATATTGGGGGCATAAATATTTACAATTATTAGAACTTCTTGGTGGATAGACCTTTAAGAGTGATGTAGCATCCTTCTTTATCTCTGACTACAGTCTTTAAAATCTAATTTATCTGATTTGAGAATCATTACGCCAGCTTTCTTTTGAGGCTAGTTGGCATGAAAGATGCTTCTCCATCCCTTCACTTTCAGCCTGGATGTATCCTTAGGTTCCAAATGAGTCTCTGGTAGACAGGATATGGACAGGTCCTGTCATTTCATTCAGTCTGCAACCCTGTACCATAGTATGGGAGCATTTAGGTCATTCACACTGAGAGTGATTACTGAAAGATATGTTTTTATTGACATCATGTTTTCTGTGAAGTTCATGTTTCTATAGATTCTCTGTAAATTTCTGGTCCATGTTACTCTTGGGTTCTTTCTTCTTTTATAGAAACCCCTTAATATTTCTTGTAGTGCTGGTTTGGTGGTCACAGACTATTTTAAACCTTGCCAGTCTTGGAAGGTCTTTATCTTTCCATCTATTTTGAATGTCCACCTTGCTGGATAAAGTATTCTTGGCTGACCGTTCTTCTCATTTAGTGCCCTGAATATGTCTTGCCAGCCCTTTCCGGCTTGCCAGGTTTCTGTGGACAGGTCTGATGTTATTCTGATGGACTTTCCTCTGTACATAAGGAATCTCTTCCCCCTATCTGCCCTCAGAAGCTCTGGACCTTTTACAATGTTCTTACTCCTAGTTAGGCTTTTCTTTTCTACTAAAAAGTCTCTTTAACATTACTTATAAGGGCAATTTAGGGGTGATTAACTTGTTTAATATTTGTCTGGAAATCTATCTTCCCTTTAATTCTGAATGATAACCTAGCCAGATAGAGTGCTTTTGGTTGTGGGGTTTGTTTTGGTATTTTTTTTCATTTCAGCACTTTGAATATATCATTCCACACTCTTCTGTTCTGCAAAGTTTCTGCTAAAAAATCTTCCAAAAGCGTTATGGGTGTTCTATTGAATATAGTTAGTCATTTTTATCTTACCACTTTTAATATTGACCCTTTATCTTTAATTTTTGACATTATAATTATTATATGTCTTGATGTGGACTTCTTTGGGTTTAAGTTGTTTTGTGCTTTCTTTGGTTCCCTGACTTGGATGTTTGTTTCTTTTCCCAGGTTAGAGAAGTTTCCAAGCATTATTCCTTCATCTAAGTTTTTGTTTTGTTTTGTTTTGTTTTTGTTTTTGTTTTTCCCCTTTCTCTATCTTCTCCTTCTGGGACCCCTACAATGCACATGTTATTATACTTGATTTCCCAGAGGTTCCTTAACTTATCCTCAGTTTTTAAATTTTTGTTTTTGTTGTTATTGTTGAATTTATATGATTTCCACTACCCTGTCTTATAGGGCTCTCTGACTTCTTTTTGACACCTTATTATGTTTTCTCTCTCTTTGTTGAAGTTCTCAATGTGTTCATATTCTCCCAGTTAGTAATCAAATTTGTGACCATTATTTTTAACTCTTTATCAGATAGATTGTTATGTACATTTTACTTATTTCTCTGAGATTTTGTTTTGCTCTTTCATTTAGAACATATTCTTTTGCATCTTCATTTTGGTTGACTCTCTGTTATTGCTTCTATGTATTATGTAGGTCTGTTGCATCTCCTGGTCTGAAGGAAGTGGCCCTGTGCAGAAGTGTCCTATGGGGCCCAGCAGTGCAATATCTCCTGGTCAACAGAAGCAGGTGTTCCAGGCTGTGTGGTTTGTATATGCCCTCCAGTTGTTGTTGAGCTGCAATCGCTACAGGCCTGCTGATGAGCAAGGAAGGTTTCTGGAGCAACTGGCTAAAAGGCCAGGTATTTCTGTGAGTGAGGTCAGCCCCCATCATAGCCAGCTGAAATGCCTGGCTGCAACTGGTACAGGTTTACTGGTTGGACAGCCTTCAGTGTAGCTGGCCAAGAGGCCTGCCTGTATATGCTTTAAACATTCTGATAAGTGGGGTCAGCCATTGGTGCTGCTAGCTGAGTATCCCAACCACAACTGCTATGGGTATACTAGTGGGCAGGGATGCCCCCTCCCCTAGGGCTGGAATCACCTTGGAGGAATGCCAGACCTATCTGGGGCTGCCCACTGGGAGTTTGTGGGTTTTAGTCACTGTGTGGGTCTGGTTGTCCTGGCTGAGGCAGCATGATGGATGTGATGAGGTGGGGACTCCACTGGGGGAGTGCCTGCCTATGTGGGCAAATTAGGTATGTGGGATAGGTCCATGGAAAAATGCTAGGGTTTCGTAAGTGGTGCTAGTAAGCTGGATTGAGAGTGTCAGAACTGGCTCCACAGATTGAGAAAACATGTCCAGAAAAGGAAATTCAAAATGAATTTAAACAGAAGTATTGTTTATTATAATATAAATATAAAGCTTTGCATGATGATCATTCTTTATTTCATTAATGCATTGTATTACATTGCATTGTATTATATTGTAATGTATTAATTCCAGCATAGTTAACATACAGTATTATATTAGCTTCTGGTGTACAATATAGTGGTTCAACAATTCTATACATCACCTAGTGCTCATCGTAAGTGCACACCTCTGGCCATTGTAAGTAAGTGTAAAATCACTATCTTGTGTACAGGAAACTAATATTACATTATACATTAACTAACTAGAATTTAAATTAAAATGTAATAAAAACACAAGTACAGTCCTTCATCCCCATCAACTATTTCACCCATGCCTCCCCCACCTCCCAACAGGAAACTATTGTTCTGTTTTCTACAGTTTAACGTCTCTTTCTTAGTTTGTCTCTTTCTCTCTCTCTCTTCTTTTTTCTTTGTCTGTTTTGTTTCTTAAATTCCACATATGAACAAAATCATAAGGTATTTGTCTTTCTCTAACTTGTTTTGCTTAGCGTTATACTCTCTAGCTCCTTTCATGTCTTTGCAAATAACATTTCATTCTTTTTATGGTTGAAAATATTCCACTATGTGTGTGTATGTATGTATGTATCTATCTATTGATCTATTAATTAATCAATTGATAGATTGATCAATAGATTGATACATACATACATACATACATACATACCATATCTTCTCTATCAATTCATCAGTCAATGGACATTTGGGCTCTTTCCATAATTTGATTATTGTTGATAGTGCTGCTATAAACATGGGGATGCATATATCCCTTTGAGTTAGTGTTTCAATAATTTGGTGGTAGACAATGAGTAGTGCAATTACTGCATCATAGGTATTTCTTCATTTTTTAAAAGATTTTATTTATTTTTATGACAGAGAGAGACACAGTGAGAGAGAGAACACAAGCAAGGGGAGTAGGAGAGGGAGAAGCAGGCTTCTTGTCACCAAGCATGGAGCTTGATGCATGGCTCAGTCCCAGGACCCTGGGATCATGACCTGAGCCAAAGGCAGATGCTTAATGAGTGAGTTACCGAGGTGCCCCTCATAGGTATTTTGATTTTTAACTTTTTGAGGAACCTTCACACTGTTTTCCACAGTGGCTAAACCAGGTTGTGTTCCCACCAGAAGTGCAAGGAATGTCCCTTTTCCTCCACATCCTTGTCAACACTTGTTCTTTGAGTTTCTGATTTTAGCCATTCAGAGAGTTGTGAGGTGACATCTCATTGTAGTTCTCATTTACATTCCCCTGATGATGAGTTTTATTAAGCCTATATTTATCCATCTGGATGTCTTCTTTGGAGAAATGTTTATTCATTTCTTCTGCCCATTTTTAAAATACATTATTTGCTTTTGGGTGTTGATTTGTATGATTTTTTTAAATGTTCTTGATACTCACCATTTAACAGAGATGTCATCTTCAAATAATCTTCTTCCACCCAACAGATTGCATTTTAGTTCTATTGATTGATTCCTTCACTGTGCAGAAGCTTTTTATTTAATTGCAGTCCAAATAGTTTATTTTTGCTTTTATTTTCCTTGTTTTAGGAAACATATCTAGAAACTGTTGCTGTAGTTGATGTCAGACAAATTACTAACTGTGCCCTGTGCTGTGATTTTTATGGTTTCAGGTCTCAAATTTAGATCTTTAATCCATTTTGAATTTATTTTTGGGTATAGTGAAAGAAAGTGGTCCAGTTTCATTCCTTTCCATGTAGCTGTGTAGTTTCCCCAAAACCATTTTTTGAAAAGACTATATTTTTCCCATTGGATATTCTTTCCTGCTGTGGAAAATTAATTGGCTATATAATCATGGATTTATTTCCAGGTTTTCTATTCTGTTCCTTTGATTTATGTGTTTGTTTATGTGTCAGTATTATACTGTTTTAATTACTATGGTTTTGTAATATAACTTGAATTGTGGAATTGTGATATCTCCAGATTTGCTTTCATTTTTCAAAACTTCTTTTGCTGTTTGGGGTCTTTTGTGTTTCCAAAATGATTTTAGGACTGTTCTATCCCTGTGATAAATGCTGTTGGTATTTTAATAGGTATTACATTAAATCTCTAGATTGCTTTGGGTGTTACAGACATTTTAACAATATTTGTTCTTCTAATCCATGAGCATGGAATGTTTGCATTTTTTGTGTCATCTTCAATTTCTTTCATCAGTGTTTTACAGTTTAACAGTACAGGTCTTTCACCTCTTTGGATAGGTTTATTCCTAGGTATCTTATTATTTTGAGATCATTTGTAAATGGGATTTTTTTTTCTTTATTTATCTGTCTCCTGCTTCATTATTAGTCTATAGAAATGGAACAGATTTCTGCATATCAATTTTATATACTCTAACTTTACTAAATTCATTGATCAGTTCTAGTATTTTGTGTATGTGGAGTTTTTATGGTGTTCTATATATAATAACATGTCATCTGCAATACTGAGTTTTGCTTCTTCCTTGCCAATTTGGATGCCTTTTGTTTCTTTTTGTTGTCTGATTGCTGTGACTAGGACATCGAACAGTGCAAGTGGTGAGAGTAGACATATTTGTCTTGTTATTGACCTTAGGGGAAAAGTTTTTCTTCCATTAAGGTTGATGTTAGCAGTGGCTTTAATATGTTGTGGTATATTCACTCTAAACCTACTTTGTTGAGGGTTTTTGTCATGTATAGATGTTGCACTTTGTCAATTGCTTTCCTTATCTATTGGAATGATCATATTGTTCTTATTATTTTCCTTATGACCTATCAATTTGAACAATTTGAAGATATTCAACCACTCTTGCAACTCAGAAATAAGTCCTACTTTTTCATGGTTAATGATGTTTTTAATGTATTGTTGGATTTAGTTTCTAGTATTTTATTGAGAACTATTGAATCTATATTCATCAGAGATATTGACCTGTAGTTCTCTTTTTGTGTGTGTGGGTTGTATCTTTATCTGGTTTTGTCATCAGGGTAATGATCTCATAGAATGAATTTTAAAGTTTTCCTTCCTAGGTCGCTGATAGTGGGCGGAGTAGACTTCACCGGACCGCAGCTCTACAGCGTGCCCCCCAACGGCTCTTACAGCCGTCTGCCCTTCGCAGCCCTGGGTTCCGGCCAGGATGCTGCTCTGGTGGTACTGGAGGATCGGTTCCAGGTGAACATGAAACTGGAGGCCGCCCAGGAGCTGCTAGTGGAAGCCATCACTGCAGGGATCCTGGGTGACCTGGGCTCTGGAGGCAGTGTGGATGCATGTGTGATAACGGAGACCGGCGCCAAGCTTCTGAGAACATTAAGCTCACCCACAAAGCCCATAGAGAGGCCCAGCCAGTACCGCTTTGCCCCTGGGACCACAGCTGTCCTGTCCAGGACAGTGAAGCCACTGACCCTGGAACTGCTTGAGGAAACCGTTCAGGCCATGGAGGTAGAATGAAGTGGAATGATGCTTAGGGCTTGGAACGAAGAGAAATAAACCCAAGAAATACAAAAACAAAACAAAAAAAAAAAATAAAGTTTTCCTTCCTTTTCTTTATTTTGAAATAATTTTAGAATAGGTATCAAACCTTCTTTAAATGTTTGATAGAATACACCTGTGAAACTACCTGATCTTGGACTTTTGTTTGTTGGAAATTTTTTAATTACTCACTCAATATCATTGTTGGTCGTTGATCTGTTCAACTTTTTTATTTCCTCCTGTTTTAGTTTTGATAGTTTATGTTTCTAAGAATTTGACCATTTCTTCTAGGTTATCACATTTGTAGGCATATAGTTTTTCATAATATTTCGTAATGATTTTGTGTATTTCTTGTTATTTCTCCTCTCTCATTTGTGATTTTGTTTACTTGAATCCTTTCTCTTTTTTTTTTTCTTCATCAGTTTGCTAGAGGTTTATCAATTTTATTGATTTTTTCAAAGAACCAGCTACTGGATTTATTGATCTGTTCTATTGTTTTTTTTGTTTGTTTGTTTGATTCAATGTCATTTATTTCTGCTATAATCTTTATTATTTCCTTCGTTCTGCTGGTTTTATGTTTTGTTTGTAGTTCTTTTTCTAGATCCTTTAGGTTTAAGGTTCAGTTGTTTATTTGAGCTTTTCCTACATCTTGAGGTAGGCCTGTGGTGCTATAAACTTTCCTCTCAGAAATCTGTTGCTGTATCCCAAAGGTTTCTGCTGTATCCAAAGGTTTTGGACTGTTGTGTTTTCATTTTCATTAGTATCCTTTTTCTTATTTCTTCCTTAATTTCCTGGTTAACTCATTTATTGTTGAGTAGCATGTTATTTAACCTCCATCTATGTGTGGTTTTTCCAGAATTTTTCTTTCTTTCTTTTTTTTAAGTTTATATTTATTTATCTGAGAGATAGAGAAAGAATAAGCAATGAGGAAGGGCAGAGGGAAAAAGAGAGAAGCAGACTCTCTGCTGAGCAGGAAGCCCAATGTGAGACTGGATCCCAGGACCCAGAGATCATGACCTAAGCTGAAGGCAGATGCTTAACCAAATAAGCCACCCAGGCAACCCCAGAATTTTTCTTGTGGTTGACATTTACAGTATTGTAGTCAGAAAAGATGCATTGTATGCTTTCTATCTTATTTATTTATTTATTATTTTTTTCTTTGCCTAGACTGTGATCTATTCTGGAAAATATTCCATGTGCATGTGAAAAGAATGTGTATTCTGCTATTTTTAGGATGCCATTTTCTGAATACATCTCTTAAATCCATCTGTTTGAGTATGTCTTTGAAAGCCATTGTTTTCTTGTTGATGTTCTATTTACATGATCTGTTCAATGTTGTAAGTGTGTTAAAGTCACCTATTATTATTGTATTATGAATTAGTTCCTTTTTGTTTGCTATTAACTGTTTTATGTATTTGGGTGCTCCTATGTTGCATTCATAAATGTTTACAATTACTATGTGTTCTTATTGGATTGTTCCCTTTATTATTATATATTGTCCTTCTTTGTCTTTTCTAACAGTCTTTGTTTTAAAGTCTACTCTGTTTGATAGAAGTATTTATATATCAGGTTTCTTTCAGTATCCATTTGTATGATATTTTGATCTCTGGCTGTGGCCTTGTCCTTTCATTTGGGATAAATATCTGTCTCCTCATTTTGTCTGCCTCTCTGGATCTGTTTCTCTGTGATAAGAAAGTCAGTTGTGTCTTCTCTTCTTGAAAGTAGTCATTTTATGAAAAAGATGTCCTAGAGTGCCTTCAGTGAACTGTACCCTGTTTATGAGAACCTGGCACTTCAGGATTATATCCTATGGAGGTTGCTTATGCCCCGTTGTTCTTTCTAAGTCACTTTTCCTTTCAGTGCATATGTCTGCACTGACTCTGTGCCTGTTGTGGGTTGTGCTTGCTCTCTGTGGTGGTCATGGGACACAGAGAGGCCAGCTCTTGTGGTGTGCTACCTGGTGCACTTGGGAACAGGACAGCAGTGTTAGCAAATTTGTGCTGGGCCACTAGTCCTGTGCTGAGTCCCCAGAAGCACTGAGGCAGCTCAGGGAAATGCACTGGATTTGCCAGAGGCATGGGGCTTGGCACAGCATGGGATATTAGCTAATGAGGTGTGGCTGCATGTATTGTGACAGTTGGGCCAGTGTGGCTGCTGGGCATGGTGCAATCTTGCATCTGTCTGCCTGTTGGTTGGGCATGGTGTGCGATAATGGCTGAAGATATGTAGCTTGGTATGGTATGCTAAGGATGCCAGGGGGTGTACAACTGACCAAATGAGCATGCGTAGATGGCTGGTTGGGCTAATGTTGGCATGGCATGGTGGATGTGCATGATGAAGTGTGGCAGCTATGCACCAGGCTGTTGGGCAGGGGACCCATGTTACTTTAACAAAATCTGCACTGAGCTCAGGGCCAAGGCCAGGTGTATTGGAATGGGTAAGTTCTCAGAAGAACTTATGGGTGGGGCACACTGCTAGAATTATAGGTGGCAAGTGTCTGTGCAGCCCATCCTACCCAGGTGTCTCTGTTTATGCTAGGGGAAAGTGAGGAAACTGGCACCTGCCAGCTGCCTTGTTTTGAAGTTCCCCAACATACTCCAAAATCATTGTGAACAGATCTGTCTCCTGTTTTCTACTCCCAGCATTGTGTAAACTGCTGATTCTACATCACCTCTCCATACAGGCTACTGTTTCTGAAAAGTGTCTCTGAAAGTGAGATATCACTCAATTTCAGGATAGCCCAGTGTTGAGACAGCTGGCTTTGAAAGTTCCAGGCTCCAAGTCCCAATTCTCAACAAAGCCATAGAATTCAGCCCCTCTGGTTTTTAAAGCCAAATGTTATGGTGATTACTCCTATCCATGTGAGATCTCTGGTGCAAGGGCCCCTTTCTCTGTCCTCTCTGAAAATTTCCCACTCCTTTCTTCCTTCAGGCAACCTCCCTCTGCCTTCCTGACATTCCTAACCTTTCAGGTGCACCTTCTCAACATTTAGTTGTGGAGTTTGTTCTGCCAGTATATGGATCCTCTCCAGTTTACTAACTTGGAAGTGGATGATATCTAGTTGAAAATGCAGGACAGGGTGACCTCAGTTTCCTCTTACTCTGCCATTTTCCTAGTTCCTCTCAAGAGCCATCTTTTAAATGTCCTCTTTTATGTCTTGCTTTAACATACTTGTATTATAGCACTCACAAAATTTCGGGCATTTATAGAATAAATATGTCTCTTTTTATATGACACAACATAAAAAGGCAGAAGGTTTTCAGTCAAACAGACCTAGGTTCTTATCCCAGATCTGCCACAAGGAAAGTTCTTTAATCTCTCTAAATACTGCTCATGTTTAAAATGAGGATAGTAAAAACAACTACTTTATAGTGTTTTTGTAAGAAGTACAGGAGAAAATATTTGTAAATGTATATAAAACTTAGCACAGGGGTGCTTGGGTGGCTCAGTCAGTTAAACATCTGTCTTTAGCTGAGGTCATGATCCCAGAGTCCTGGAATGAAGTCCTGCTTCCAGCTCCCTGCTCAGCAGGGAATCTGATTCTCCCTGTCCCTCATCCCTACTTGTGTTCTCTCTCACACACACACTCTCTCTCAAATAAATAAATAAACTCTTAAAAAAGATTTAGTATATTGACTATCAGTAATAAAGATTCCATAAATAGTATCTTTTATTATTGTTAATATTAATAAAACAATATTCTTTTTATATTTGTATTGTTTATGCCTAGCATAACAGGATTTTAATATATTTTATTGAATTAATTAATCAAGGTTCACCAAATAAGATAATGTATAAACTTGCTCAAGCTTTTAAACTTTCCAGAAAATGGAAACTTTAGAATTATTACTGCTAAGCATTTAAATTGAACAGTGTTGGCTTAAAGCTTAGAAAATTCATCATAGGTTCTATTATTTCTCTAAAACGTCAAGAAATTTCTTGAGGAATCTCCACAGTGTTCTCCAAAGTAGCTGCAACAACTTGCATTCCCACCAACAGTGTAAGAGGATGCTTCCCTATGACCCTGCCATTGCACTACTGGGTATTTACCCCAAAGATACAGATGTAGTGAAAAGAAGGGCCATCTGTACCCCAATGTTTATAGCAGCAAAGGCCACAGTCGCCAAACTGTGGAAAGAACAAGATGCCCTTCAATGGATGAATGGATAAGGAAGATGTGTCCATATACACTATGGAGTATTATGCCTCCATCAGAAAGGGTGAGTACCCAACTTTTGTAGCAACATGGACAGGACTGTAAGAGATTATGCTGAGGGAAATAAGTCAAGCAGAGAAAGTCAATTATCATATGGTTTCACTTATTTGTGGAGCATAACAAATAGCATGGAGGACAAGGGGAGATGGAGAGGAGAAGGGAGTTGAGGGAAATTGGAAGGGGAGGTGAACCATGAGAGACTATGGACTCTGAAAAATAATCTGAGGGTTTTGAAGGGGCGGGGGTGGGAGGTTGGGGGATCCAGGTGGTGGGTATTGGAGAGGGCACGGATTGCATGGAGCACTGGGTGTGGTGCAAAAATAATGAATACTGTTATGCTGAAAAAATTTAAAAAAAATTAAAAAAAATAAAAAATAAAACGTCAAGAAATATTTTTTGAACTTACTTCTACAGAGAAAGTAACTAAAAAATTCAATTCCATGGGCCTACTATAGTGTTAGTATGTGTTCAGGAGCATGTGTAGTTCTTGATCATTTCTTATTGTCTAATGGAAATAAAGAAGGTTATTTGGTCACCTGCTAGAAAACATCTAGTTAAAGCCAAAAGATTCAAGATGGAAAAAAAAAAAGAAATCAATTGTCCAACTTCACAAAGACTGTTTTTTTAAGAGATAAACTCTTGCTAAGAGAATACAGCTTAGTATCAAAGTTGAGATGTTATTGAAAACAGATATACTATACTCAACATATACATGCACATCATTAAAAAGACACACACAAACACACTTCACACACACAATCGCCCAGGCTGACACATGCTGGAATTCATTAATATTTTTAGTAAGCTTTAAGCAATGT